TGATTCGAAACGAGTGCGTATTGATATGGTTATTTTTTTTTTATCAAACCGATATTTTATATTAGCTTATCCACCAAAGGTAAGACCGGACTTAGCCAACTCATCGGCGACCACATTTACCGAACGAGGGATAAAGATAAATGATAGATAGACGAAGCCTACACTAAGACATATAATGTCGTGTAGTATAGTCTTCAACTCATTGACCACGTCCTTGGTGTTAAGCAACGTGACAAGAGAGAGCGAGTCCGAGAAACAAATGAGACTTCGGAATCCAGCATTTTTAGCTGCAATTAAAGCAGCTTTGATGGCGAAAGCTTCTGCCACAAGCGCCGATGGTACTTGTCGAAGGAATGCATATGGTTTGTTTAGTGTCCTCATGTGTGAGTCTTTGAAGCACCACCCTAATCCACAATCAAGTGAAGAAGCGATCCAAGATGTATCAACAAAGCAATGAGATACCTGTAACGGTGACGGAAGTAAAGGGGGAAGTATACTTCCTGTAACAATGCCATTCAATACAAGAAGGCAAATTGGGAGAAAAGGAGACTCCACGAAGGAGTAGAAGATCTGTTAATGCTAACAAACGGGATTGAGCTCCTAACAACAACATAGACTAGACTAAAGCTAGTAACAACCTCAATACAAGGTAAGAGTAAGCCACATTTTTTGTGACAACCAACCAAGAGAGTGAATACAAGGTAAAGGTGAACCTCATTTTCTGTAAACAAGGCATCATAGAGTTTAAGAAGTGCACCTCATGGAATGAGATTCTATCGCTGAAATAGACTAATAAGCTTCGAGAATCATCAAGAGGGATACAAGTACATGGCTCGCATATCCAACGGAGGAGTCTAGTTAAGTCGAAATTCATCTCGGATCTAGAGTAACAACAACTCCTAGAATCATGAGAGGAGAGGAACAAGAAGCACAAACCATTCCTAGACGAGCAACACTTGAATCCAAAGACTGATTCGAGAACGGAATAGGGCCTGCACACAGCAGTAAGGCATGGCAAAGGAGCGAAATTTATTGACCACATCGACCCAGATTTGCCTGGGAGGAGTGAATTACATCGACATTGTAACTCAGCCGTAGATGGAGAATCGCGGCGGTCCGGTGGGTCGGGAGGATCCGGAGGAATCGACTGGAGTCTCACCAACGATGTCAGACCTGGCCAAGACGAGTAGGCTGGCAGTTGTTCTCTCATCCTTGACAGAGAGAAGAACATATTCTTCTATTAGCTTTCTTAGATGTAGTTTTCGTCTTTACACTTTTACAGCTACCAAAGTTAGATTCAACTGAAACTTTTTTTTTGAAAAAAATTCTGATATGGTTATTATTACGTCTAATTAATGGTGTTGCAAAACTGTTCTTTAGTGCATTTGTTGGGTTTGAGACCGTTCAAATTCAGAGTTTACCGGTAGGTATACCGGTTTGATTCATAAGAAGGAAATAAAATTAGAGTGAAAACAATACCATACCACGATTTAACTTTTTTTTATACAAAAAAACTAATACCATTTACACCTCTAAAATATTTTTTTCCAGAGTTTCTAATGTTTTGATTTTTTGTTTGTTATAATCTGCATTTAATAGGATTTTTTTTTCTAATAATCGTATGTTGTTGGATCACCTGAACCGGAATAAACCAACGTAATTGTCATGGACTCAGGTGCTACGCCGTTTCAGAATTTTTCCGTGTCGAAAAAAATCAACGTTTTAATAACCGGACCGGACACCAATTCGTCATCGCATTGGTTGGCTGGTCAGACTGGTTAAACCGGTCCAACCGGGCCAACCGAATTTTCAAATATTCATATTTTTAAT